CTTTTCACTCACCTCATAGTTCTAGCCGACCTGTGACAATGAGACTGTCACAGGTCGGCTCAGTAGATCGGGAAGTGAGTGAACACATACCGGCGTTTGCTCACTTCTCGATCCTGTCACAGCTCTCTGCCGTGACAGGGGAGGGGCTGGATTCCTCCCTCCCTGCTCCGATCCTCCAGCTCTGACTGGCGGAACGGACTGGGGAGGGGGCGGGTACAGCTTGCTCTGCCTCTAGATAGGAAGTGTCAACTGTCACTCACGCAGCAGGGCGGATCCAGATATAATTGTCGGGATCCGCTTCTCTGCGGGGTCTCAGTATACCGCGAGCTGTAGCTCACGGTATACTGCGGCATCCCAGCCGGTATACTAGGCTTAGTGTGACGGGAGGACGCTAGTTTGTGTCCTCCCGTTATCCTAAGGAGAACTATGGGGAAAATCCCTAACCCCAAAGTTCTCCTTTAAGGTGACCACCTACAGTTCTGTGTTAGTTATTTTTTCCGTGATAACAAAAAAAATTGCCCTGACGAAAATGTCAAATATGTTTTTTCTCTTATTTTACATTGAAATTACCTGTATAGGAAGAGTTTAGAGCACTGACAGAGTATTGAAATCATATTCATGTGGCCATTGCAGATAACATTTTAAATGTGTATCTCCGGAGCAGAAAGCTGAATGCAGATAAAAGTCATACATACAAGGCAGATAGAAGCTCTCATAGAATGGCTACAGACGTGGTGGAAACAAATGTGTCAAATGCTTCATATCCAAGCAGTCTATCCTTAGTGACGGGTCCCTATTAAACCAACTATATCTTTACAAAAACAAATTCTGTGTAGCCTGAGCATAGTGTTTTCATACATGATCGTTAATGTTTAAGTCATTGCCTTGAGCTGGAGAGCAGTAATATCTCTTTCTGTCAGATGTTGTTTATCTACACGAATCATATTGCATCTATCCTGCTTTCAGATGCCTTCAGGAAAACAAACAGCATGTGCATGGAAGAGATAATGACAATCTTACACTTGCTCTGCACATAGTCTTCAAGGAAGCACCAGAACCAACATATTGGGGTGTCCATTTGTCTCTTGCCAAATATTTCAATCAAATAACAGAATATCGGTGGTTTGGCGTAGGCCACCTCCACAGGGAGGACATTCTCAATGTCTCGATGCACACACAACATGTGCACTAATTTCCATATATTAGCATTCATAATGTGAATCATTTTTTTTTTCTTCAAAGCATTTAACAGCGAGTCAGCAAATGGAATAAAGTGGGTGAGCTGAGTGAGAATGAATCTATTTTGGGGATAAGAGTGGGAGGACACGTTCTAAATGTATCTTCGAATTGGTTCTCTCCTGTGACTCATGTGCTCGTTCGGAAGCTTGACATGTTAACAGGACCTCATTACAATTATTGTTAGCGGCTCTTTTAGATTTGCTGAATAGTATATCCAACAGCTGAATTATAGGGTTGTCATGTTTGTTCACTGGGTCTGGGGAGAATAACCCAATTTGTTTATTGTAACTGAATTATGTATGTAGGGGAAACAATTGGAATGTATGATTCACCAGTTCCTATGAAGAAGTCAAAATTGTTACTTTTCCAACACAGAGCATATAAACGAGGTCACTGACCTGAATAGAAGTTTGTTTATTATACAGGTAGTTGGGGAAAAAATAGTATCTTTTTGCCAATTTTTATCTGTGAAGGTTCTCATTCATCCAGGTCATGGTATATCTGTAAAGAATAAGTCAAGGCAACTGGACTTGCTGTATTGCCTTGATTTATTTTTTACAGAATTTGCCAATTTACATCATAAAGACGAGATGCATCTTTCTATCTCACCGCTGCTGACTCAGATAAACTTTGACCAGTGTGTGACTCCATCATTCGGCAAAAGTCAGTTTTTCAATGGACTTTTGTCAAATGAATCAATACAAAAATTCTCAGCTGAACAGTGACAGCCGCTGTTAGCATACACTAACATGACGGGGGGATATTCCCCCAATTACTATATTTAGCATGAATGGGGAAATTGAGCGCTGGTGTATGGCCTTCCTGGTGTGCTTGTGCAGTTATCCAGTCCCTAACTAAGCCTCTTGATAATTAAAAGGCCCACGTTCTAAATTCCAGTTTTCAGTATCTGCAATTGAGTTGCTCTCCTAATATGTATTGTTCCTGCTTGTTGTTGGGCAAATAGCTGTGTAGCTTCTGTTATCCTGAGAGCTTAGCAGGAAAGACCCAGAAAGCTATACAAGCTATATATCACTCTTTTTTTGGCCCACGAGTGTGCCATTTATGCCTTGAGGAGCACATACTGATATATCATTGGTAGCTATTTGGGCAGGCCAGGAGAACAAAGAGATAAGCCAAAAGGCTGCATTTGGTCTCACAGCTGCCAACTGGATAAAGCTGATGCACCTATGTGTATCCATTGGAATACATAGAATATTGGTCTAGCTAAACAGACGGTAGACAAAAAAAGAATCACCTGATGTTTAAGAGGTAAACAATGAGCACTAATTTACATAAAGCTCCTTTTACATTCTACTCCTATTTTCAACAACAACAATATTACTAATTGTTCACTTTATACTCACCCGTTTTCCAGGAACCTCTCCAGTTTGTACATGTGCTCACTTTGTCAGATTTGGCATTGGTAATAGGCATGATGCGCAACACAAGTTACTAATTAGCGGCTTTGTCTGGGTAGTTCTGGCAAAAACACTGGGTTTTAAGAAGTATGATATTTCAGAACCTGTCATTTGTACTTACAGTCTACTGAAGTTAACTTTGCTAATGGTTGCATAGTAAACTTTTCGCTTGACAGGGAAAAATAGAAACTTTATTTCTGTACTTAAAGCAGGGGGTGGACAAATGTGGCATTCGTGAGCCTGTCTGTACAATCCAGGAGGTAGATGGATTTCTTTAGTAGTCATCTCCATCGACAACCATTAGAGAAAACCACAAAAGTTAGGAGCCAACTTCAATTTTCGGGGGCACTGGCTACCTGGCTCCTAGGATTTGTCCAGCCCTGACTTAAAGTATATGTACACCCTAACTGAACTTCTCTTTTTTGCTCCCTTCTTGGTCAGTTAATGCGAAACTCCGGGTAGGATCTTTTATGAGAACTTATACAGGTCCAGCTTGGCTCAATGTAAGTATCCGTATTTGATCTCTGAAGGGTGCAGGGGATGCTGAAAATCACTTTAGTAGTCAGTGCTACATACAGTGATAGCTGGTGTCTTCCAGCTGCCGCTCCAACGGCTTCCCCTCTGCACACTATACACAGGAAGTTGCTCGCTGGGCACCGCCACCATTCGGAAAACACCTTGTTTTTTTTTCTCTCAATAAATACAAGGCATTCTCTGATTGGGTGAGGTGGCGTCATTTGCCTCTCTACTCCATTTGCCCAGCAAATGACCCTCTGTGCTCAGTGTGCAAAGGGGCAAATGCTGGAAGAGACCAGCTATCAATGTATGGCGTGTAGACCAATAAAGTGATTTTTTTTAGCAGCCCTCCAGAGATCAGATAAAGATACTTAGATTGAGCCGAGTTGGAACAATGTAAGCATCCATAAAAGATCATTCCTGCAGTTCAGCTTTAAATATACCATGGAAAGTGTTTTTGTTATATCTGTTTAATAAGTACAAAATAGACTTGCTTATTCTGCCAGCACTCTTCCAAGCTGATAAAATCTTGTTCCCTGTGATTGTCCTGTACTCCTATTAGTTCCATTGTTCCCAGCTATCTCTGCTGACCACAAAACACTTCCCCCATGGTGTATGGTAGGCAGGGGTGGTGGAGTGTCCTGTCCTAGAGTGAACATGGTGCTACTCCATGGATAGAGTACAATGAGTGAGCATTGTCACCCTAGGGCAGGAAGTATGTTACTGGTGGGATCACCATCCAAAATCCAAAATAAAGGGAACAAAGCCTGAAAAAAGGACTAGTGTTGGTACGAGAGGCCTGTTTTTATTTTTTACTCTTGTAGGAACAATTTCAAATAATAATACCATTTCATATCATTCAAACAGACAGGAGAAGAAGCAATGAAACATCCTAACAGACATAGCTATGTTCAGTTATTTACCAGCCAATAACCCCTTTGGGATCACCAGGGGATCAATGACTGAAGGGCAATACAAAAAAGCTATTGATTGCGTGTGCTGCAAATCCACCACTAGTACATTATGATTTTACATGCACACCCATATGGGTGACGTGTACGTTAAGTTTTTGCAAAGACCAAGTGTTCATCAAATGCCTACAACCAGATATCGGTAGGTTTTGCTACATGTATCAAACGGTTTCCTTCCGGGAAATCCAATTAAGTGAAACTCTTGACAATCTTAGTAGCAGAAACTGCTGACCTCTCCAGTGTCTACACTATGCCTCTCAGCCCCCTTTACAGGCAAGCAGAGGACTTGGTCATTTAATAATGTTTCCCTGTTAGAGCTGACAGGATGCGGAAGATTTCAAGGCATGACCTGAATAAATAAATCATAAGTACTATGTAAGTAGCATAAAATATTCAATCTTTTATTCTCATCTAACACCACTGCTGGCCTTTTTTTATTCCTAATTAATTTAAGGAAGAATGTAAGAGACAAGATCTGAATAAAGTCTGAGACAAGAGACTTTTTTCTTTTCCAAACCAGCAGGTATCAAGCTATCAACAGGAGGCATTTTAATTGCTCATTCTGTATTGTTTATATTTTCAAAAAAATGGTTTATATTTACTGTATTGTAACACCTTTTATCAGCTGGGCTTCCTGCACTTTTATATGCAGCCTTTCCAGTATTCCTTAGGCTAGCTGTTTTGTAAAAAAACCTGCTGAGATATTCACACTGTTCCATCTTGCATTTTTGTTTCAGAAAAGAGCACAGCGGAGTTTAAAAAGCCTTGTTCATACAGTCATGCAGAGTCCTGTTGTGTGCTTATGGTGTCTTCCTGAAAATCTGATTTAGTTTTTTTTGTCTTTTCTATTTTCCAGATGCATAACCTACAGGAGATGAGGAGAAGTGCCTCACTGGCTACCAAAGTGTATATACAAAGGGATTACAGCGAAGGAACAATGTGCCAGTTCCAGACTAAGTTCCCACCAGAACTTGACAGTCGGGTATTGCTGCTTTATAATGATTCATACTGAAGTCATGCTGCTAACAGTGGAGTCTCTGTTGACCCTTTTCTTATATTAAAGCGTATGTAAACCCCAAAACAAACATGTAATATATTGCAGTGTACCAATCCTGAAGGGCCCATTCACACCACATGCATTGGGGCTGCACTGGACGTTGTTTCCAACACAGCCCCAAAGCAAGACCACGCCATTTGCCTTGTCACGGATAGACATCTTTTACTCCACTGCATTGCTTTGGGAATGCAGTGGTGTACCCTGAAAAAAGTATGACATGCCTTCCTTTTTTTTATAGCGGCAAGATGTAATGCATAGCAACCTTGCGCCCGGCTGTGCCTGCAGAACTGAGTGAAATGTTACTAGTGACAGTAAACACAGTGCAGTGTGCCAGGGTTGGCGCATCAGCACTGTGTTGTGGACTGCACACCAGCCACTGTGCATTTTGAATGGACCTTTAATTTGGTGGCTGCATTAGTTTTCATATATAGGCTTTTTTCCCCTTTATTTTCACTTGGTGATCCAGTCCGTAACCGAAATCCTGTCTAAGGCTATGTTTACTACTTGGTGTTCTGTGAACGTGCACAAAACACGCACGTTCATGTCAAAAATGCGCAAACCGCTTGTGGTGTCAGTACTTTGTAATGGCATCCCAAATGTGGCCAGGAAAACTTGTGTTTTTCCTGTGCATGATGATGTGGACAAACACATGGTGAAAAAAACATGGTACCCCATGTAGAAGAATCTTCTACATGAGCTACTTTCCCACATTTGTCATATGTGTGATACCTATTGAAATCAGTGGGCCATGCGTGGTAAACATAGGAAAAAATGGACACGACCACAAAGGTGTGAATAGGGGCTTAGGGTGACTGCACTCAATGGAATGAACAACAGAGCCACACTTGGACAGCAGCATTCTCACCCTGTAGAGAGGGTGGTCTTAGATGCACTAGGAGATTTAGATGGACTTGACTAACAAATTAAAGTTGAACTCCAGCTAACGCTTTTTAAACAGTTACACATTTTTTTTCTTGGTTTTTGGGATGAAGGTTTTACATACTGAATAAACCATTCTAAGCCCCTACGTCAGTGTTAGATGGTTTGTCTCATTCTCTAACTGCCACTTTTGCTGGACAGCTTGGTCTGTTAATGAAAGATGGAAAATAAAAGACTTACAGGGTTATTCACAAAGGGTGAAGAGTTTGGAGAAGGCAGGAGAAGGGAACAATCTAGGACAACATAGCTGAACTGGAGAATTTTTCCAAATCAGCTATTTTGGCCTAGACTGTTCACTTCTGCTGCTTTCTCCAAACTCTTCACCCTTTTGTGAATAACCTTGTAAGTGGCCAGATCACCAGGATCTCTTTCCTTTATTTTCACCTGATCCTCTCTCTTCTCACCATGCCTGTACAGCAGAGCCCCATGGACTTCTATGGGACTCATCTACCACTGCCTCCCAGCCAGGAGACAGAGACAGACAAAGCCCTATTCAAGGCAATGTAAATAATAATCTGAAAATGTATTTCAGAAAATCACTCAATCAGATTTCAATTTGAATTGAAATCTGAATTCCAATTGGGCTGGAATACTGGAAATGGCCATTGCTTTTACTTTAAGTACAACTGAAGCCAAAACTTTTTTTTGTTTTGTTTTGGGTAGAGTAAGTATGAGATACAGCTATTGGCAATAAAATATTTTGCTTTTTCAACTTATGGTGTGCTGGTGACATTTTTCTATTGTTCATGTGTGGCGGTGCCATCCGCAGTCATTTCAAGCACCCATCTTCATCAAGTGGGAATCCCGGTAAGGAGTGCGGTATGGTTCCTGTTTCTGCTGTACGTTTATGGCACATGATAATGTGAACAGGGACTACTATCTGTGTCCCCGTTAGTCCCCATTCACACCATCGTGTACCGTGAACACACAGCAAACTCGGAAAAAACAAGCGCTTTGGCACGTGTTCATGGAATGCATCCAGAATGTACAGTGCACTTGCTGTGCCATTACTACTTAATGGCACCCCAAAAGGTGGCCGGGGAAAAAGCACGAAACTCATGTAGCAGATTTTGCCACAAGAGCCCCTTTCGGTGCAGTGTTGTCACCCATTAAAATGAATAGGGATGCACACCAAATGTGGGAAACAAAGCCCCGTGAACATGTGGATCTGCTACGAGATGGTGTGAATGAGGACTAAAAACTAGACAGCTGTTTTACTACCTCTCCACTCTATCCAGAACTAAAAAGTTTTGTCTTCAAATAAACCTGCAGATATAAGCAAGTGTAGCAAGTTTCATTCATGACATCAAAAAGTGGGCTGCAATGTCAACGCCTCTAATGGTTTCTATCCCTATATTGTAATGTTGATGTGCGTGTTAACAATCCATGCCAAGTGTTGCCATATGGATATTTTCTCTTTCCAGAGCCATGGTACAAACTGCATCTGTTCTTTGCATGGTCTGTGACATGAATCACTTGTTTGTGTTAAGCGCCGTACGAACGGGGATATATTGTCACACTTATGTCCTCTGTTGATTTACACATTCTATTTTGGGACGCTTGCAAGGGATTTCATGCCTGCTGCTAATGCTGGGAAGTGTCTGGGGTCCTTTAACTGCTTGTCAGATTGGAGATTAGTCATTAATCAATAGAGCAGAAGACTCCAAGGGGGGGGGCATCTTTCTTTAGAGTGGAAGAATAGCCATGGGGGGTCCGAGGAAAGACATCCAGTTCTGCCATTTTTGCTCTAATTACAGAAATGAACTTGGACATACAGTAGGCAGAAATTGCTCCAGAGGAGGACTTTTTAGGAGATGTAAGAACACTCCATCTAGTTAGATGTATTATATTTGACAGAGCAAAGGAGAATACAATGTGAACCGAATTACAATAAGGAAATAGGAAAAAAAAAAGAGTACAAATTAGAGAATTAGAAGTTATGCCGTGAAGGAAAAGAGACATTTATATCATCTGGTGCTGTTCCTGAAAGTATATAGATACCCAATCATAAAAATCTCCTTTATTCTTTATCGCAGTAGTGTCCTTTTCAATCTTTATAAATCTGCAGCTTTCATTAAAGAAGAACTCTGAGCAAGACTTTTCTTAACCCTTGCAGTTGGGCTACCCGCGCACTGCAAGGGTTACATGCTTGTTTTTGTCCAGGGGCTGAAATAAAAATGTTATGCTCACCCTCTCATTGGACTCGGCTGGCCATTAGACTAGTACTTACAGCCTCTCTTCCCCTCCACTGCAGCAGGCTAAAGATCGCGGGGGGACGACAGACCTGCAGGCTGCATGCAAGTGATCTCGGCTACATCACTTGTACAAAACAAGAGCTTACCCGCTGTACATTTAGCTCTGCTTGCCCAAAGCAGGGCTAAATGTAGTAAACAACTACCCGCCTGGCGCCCGGAACTGCATGTCCCGGGCGTCGGGAGATAGGAATTCCACACCCCTGCCGCCCCTCTATTGCCTGCCACCCAAAAGCTGGACCTTGGTGGCCTTGAGGGAAATACGGCCCTGGTAACAGCCGGCCGGCTGCAAGGTTCGAATGAGTATATCTTTGTTATTTTTGCATCTAGACCAAAATGAACACTTAACCCTTGCAGTGCAGGGGTAGCCCTACTGCAAGCGATAAGAAAAGGTTTGGACGGAGTTCTTATTTAAAAAAAAATCCCTGGTGATCCTGCCATGAAGCTCATTGTTCAGGCGCTTCCTCTTAGAGGGTGTCAACCTTCAGTTATTGTCTTCCAATAATTGCAATCCTGCGTTGTCACCTTGTCACATGGGCTTCCGATGGAGACGGTTAGTGATGAGGTGGGGCTTGATGCAAACCCCATTTGCCCAAAGCCACTGAAAATTGTAACCAACGCACCCACTCCCGGCCCAAAAAGTTGTTGGCTGGCGGATTCCCCACCCGCTACACATCACAAAGAAGCAGGGAATGCTCAATTGGTGCAACTGATTGGGCTGGATGAGGAGGGGTGCCAGTCACAGTTAGGAGCAGGCTTGGCCGAAATGGGTTTATACCAAGCCCCAGCTCATCACTAAATACCATGAGTAGTCACGCTGACTCTCATCGTTACAACATTGTCATCATTAAAAAGCCCACTCTGAGCAGTGATGTGCAGTGCTGCTGAAATAAGTGCACATACACAGAAAGTGGCAGACACTTCCTAAAGCATCTGCCACTTCTTGTGTAGGAAACAGTGTTCTTTTTTAAAGAAGAACTCCGGGCAGTTAAAAGAAATTAACCCTTTCAGTGGAGCTATCCCTGCACTACAAGGGTTAAGTGCTTTTGTTGTTCTAGGCTGGGGCATTAAATAAAGATATACTCATCTAAACATTGGTCCCGTGGTAATGACCATACACCTCTGCCTCCCTCTGAAGTCATGGGTCCTTAAACCGCTGGAGACTAGGGGAGAAGAGGCTGTGGGGACCAGTGTAGAGTGCAAGCCGGACTGAGAATCAGTGACTATTTCTCCTTGACTTTAGACCCTAGACCAAAATGAGCAGTTAACCCTTGCAGTGCGGAGTAAGCCCTACTGCAAGGGTTCATTTTTCAACTGCCCGGACGTCTTCTTTTAACATTACTGTGTTACTTACTCAAAGCCTAATCCTTGGTGGCCCTGCTAATATTTAAAAGACAGTTCTTATGAAATATGTGTGTTACAGTCAGTGCAAGTCTTTGTAACATATTTTATTTATGCCCCAATAACTAGTGTAGTGTACCGCTCTGGTGGGTAATTGCATTATCCAGTCAGTGGTCAGGAAAGTAGAATCCTCATTCTGGATTGATACAATGCAGCTGATAAGAGCTTCCCACATTTTTTGGTAGAGACTCTCTTTAAGAGTCCTGCAGCATCTTTGGATTAATGACCATGCAGACATCAGTGCATCCCAAAGCTGCGCCATTACCATTGCAACATGACCATATCAGTTCATATCACGAACGGCCCATTCACACCTTTACTTTGCACTGCAAC